GAGTCAGTAACTTAGCCACAGAGGAATAGAGTGGAGAGTGAAGCGTCCAGCAGATAAGAAGAGAGGGCATATGCACAAGAACACCCACACTTGCAGATAATACCCACTTGACCTGGCTTCAATGACTGGATGATCAGAGCTCAACTAGAAGAAGGTAGAGGAGGAAAAATAAAAAAAACAATTTGATGAACTTAACCTACACCTATTGATGCAGTAGCTCAAAAGAGGGAACAAATCTTTACGGCAAGGATCATTCATTCCCACCCCCTCCATACACAGAGTAGACAGGGATGGGCAACTTGAACATTGGCTACCCAAAATGGGGGGGGGGGGGCTACAAAGGCAAGAAGTGACTGGCTTACAAGCTTTCAAGAGGGAACCTAGATCCAGAGGGCGTGGAGGAAGGTAAAATCTCCACTTAGTATCCAACTTGTCTAGGCGGGCTGATGAAGGGAAACATGGATACACTCTTGTGATACATTAGTGAATAATTGTTAGCAGGACTGATTGTGAGGGTTGGAAATGTACAGGTAGACGTTTTGTAGCAAGGAGGGGAGTGATTAACTTTGCAGTCTAGGAGTGGAGGTTCCTGGGACTATCAAGGGAGAAAAGCAGAGAACGGGACCCTACCCAGAGAAGCAGTGACACCAGAGACGATGACGTGGAAAGATGGAGCAGCTGGGGTCTTTAGACCCAGAGAGGGAGAGGGGCTGTGTGCTGAGGACCGGGGGGCAGACTGTGGTTGGTTGATGATGCATGGAGGGGATTGTAATCATGGCAATGAAATGATATACGATAGAATGAATGTAAAACTAATGTTCTCCCATGTAAACTATCACACAATTCACAATAAAACATTAAAAAAAAAAGAAGACGCTATCCCTTCATTGCTCTTTCTTTCTGAACCATCCCACAGATGGAGTTGTAACATTACAGCTGTTCACTTTTGGGTTAGCTGGCAGCATATATTGGAGAAACATCTGTAAACCAGGTTCAATTTTTTTCCCTCTTCAGTTAACTGATTATGGAAAAATTTTCATGAGTTCATAGGTGTGAACTGAGGGAGAGGAGGCAATAAAGCAATGGTTGACATCAAGAGTTGCTTGTGTTAAATACATACAACATAAAACTGCATTTCAACCATTTTTAAGTGTAAAATTCATTAATCATACAATGGTGTGCAACTATCACTATTATTCATTTCTAAAATCTTATCACCCCAAATAGAAATTCTACATGCAGTAAGAAATAATTCCTCACTCCTCACTTGCCTCTAGTGCCTGGTAACCATAATCTTTACACAGTTGTCTATTTTAGGTATTTCATGTCAATGGGAGCATAGAGCACTTGTCCTCTTGTCTGGCTTATTTTAACGAGCAAAATGTTTTCAAGATTCATCCATGTCATAGCACGTATTAAAACTTCATTCCTTTTTTATTTATGGAGGTATTGATAAAATGAAGAGGAACTGAATCACTTGCTGATAAAGATTTTAAAAAATGCAGCCTTCAGTAAGGATTACAATTCAAATCCTTACAACTGGAATAATAAACATCATGGTAAATGAGAAAAGATTGAAGTTACCAAGGTTTTCATTTTACTTGAATCCACAGTCAACACTCATGTAAGCAGCAAACAAGAATTCAAGACATAATGCATTGGGCAAATACACTGCAAAAGACCTCTTTAAAGTATTAAAGAGCAAAGATGTCACTTTGAGGACTAGGGTGTATCATAGTATTTTTTCAATTGCCTCATTATTTATATGAAAACTGGACAATGAATAAGAAAGACTGGAGAAAATTTGATGCATTTGAATTATGATGTTGATGAAGAACATTGAAAGAACCATGGATTGCGAAAATAACAAACAAATGTCTTGGAAGTACACCAGAATGCTCCTTGAAGCAAGTGAGACTTGTCTCATGTAATTTGGCGATGTTATCAGAAGAGATCAGTACCTGGAAAAGGATAAGGTGCTTGGTAGAGGGTCACTGAAAAAGAGGAAGACCCCCAAGGGATGGATTGACACAGTGACTCCAACAATGGGTTTAAGCATAACAACTGTGAGGATGGAAGTCTCCTGTTCTGTTGTGCACATGGTTGCTGAGTCCGAGTTGAGACTTGATGGCACCTAACACTATCCCATTGTACACATATACACCATTTTGTTTATCCACTCATCTGTTTATGGACAGCTGGATGACTCCCACCTTTTGTTTGTTGTGACAAGTATTGTTTTTCAGTTCCTGCTTGCAAGGGAACCATGTAGTTTGAGCCATTAGCTCAAGTGCCGTATTTATAGTCCAGGTCGGCTTCAATGTTGTATACCATTTCCATTTGATGCATGTGCAAGCTTGTGGTTTAATGGATCAGAAAATACTCAGGTAGTTATAGGAAGTTCAGGTTGCCTGGTCACTAGATGTCCATGGTTGTGTTCAGTTTTAATCAGAACCCAGCATCATGCTAGCTATTTTTCAAAAAGATAATCATTGTTTTCAGAAGAAAATATGGATTTTCTCCAAAACTTCAGATTTATGCCATGAATTCTCTTAATAGTATTTGTTAGAAGCTCCATATTGCTACACACTTCAAGTATCATTGGATCTGGGAGCACAAAGGAAAAAACCACTCAACTTCCAGTGGTCTCTTGCTCTAGGCCCCACTCGAAATCATCAGCTTTCTGCTTCACCTAGTAATTGGGTCAGAGCAGCAAACTATGGCATGGGTTGCCTCTGAAACTGAAAATGGCCCACCAAATTTGTATGCCTGATTTTGAGTGGTAGATGGCTGTGGTCTTTTGCTCTTGAGAGGTTATTTTGACATGCTCCAGACTACTGAACCTCCAGAAATTAACTGAGGTAATGATTCCATGACTTTTCATAGGGTTGACCTGCCACCTTTTGATTCACATACGCCTAAGGCATATGTATTACTTGCTACTTTCTGCTCATCACATCTAGTTTGCTAAATACCCTTAGTATAGTGGACTAACGTGGTATTGTGTAGACTGTCAAGACCTAAAAAATCTACAAGAATCTACAAAGTATCTGTAGATTATATATGTCTGAGAGCAGGTGAGTTGACAAAAGCATAAAACAAGACTGTGAAGGGATACTGTTAACATTGCCAGGGGTAATCAAACTGCTCCGGTAGTCCGAGAAAATTTGTGATGAGACAGAAAAAATCTTTTATGAGTAATCTAACTCCGAATTCAAAGAGCATTTTCAGAGAATTCAAAAGTAGATGCTTTCCACAGTGTCTCCAATCATGGTAGCAGCTATCCTCTAAGGCAGAGGTGCTCAGCACTTCCCCCCAAACCACAAAATGAATTCTGTTCACCTGTGGTAACTGCCATGAGTGCTTGTCCCCACCACCCCAAATTGTATGGAAAAATAATAAAAATTAAAAAGCAAATATTACTAGGGATTGAAGATGATGATGTGCAGTATAATTCACAAGAGAATTATACAATTTAATTCTTTACTTTGTGAGATTCTTTTCTGAAAAATTCTTTTAATCTAACTTAAAAAATATTTAATATACTTTCCAACACATTATAATTTTAACTATTTTAATTTAAAAACTAATCATGAAATGAGTTGCTTTTCTAGTTCCCTAGTCCAGACACTTTTAGTAAGCAATCATATAGTACTGAATAAGTGTATTTTCTTAAGAACACCTAAAATGTATGCTTTTCAACAAATTGAAATGAACACCATCAGCACACATACCACCTGCTTTATTGCCTTGTCTACATGTCCTGGTCACTAGCTTATGGTTACTAATAAATACCCTGACAGGAACCATCGCTGGACTGTTCACTTTTTTCAGTGGCTTTATTTTTAATGTTCCTACTGCCAAGAACTTAAGATAGAACCATGAAATTACAACCTACAAACACTACTTCAGGTTTGCCAGATAATAGTTTGTGTTATTCCCCATCGTAAAACACTTCTGAATTCAAGTGAGCATGGTATTTCTGTAGGAATAAATTTGAATGCTCTCACATTTAAGAAGAGTCATTTATTTTAGTCACTAAGAACTTATTCATGCAGCATTTCATAACTGATCAAGACACTTTACTGATAAGATTCAGAACCACACCTCCCCTTAGATGCCACACCCTTTTACACTGGATGATAAAGGCTTCAGGATCATGTCCAGATGAAAATTTAATAATAGTATTTGATGATTATGACCATAAAAAAAATATATTGTGAGATCCTTTAAGATTATCGAAGAATATGGCAAAATTTAGTCAGATGCATAAAACAAGGTTATTAACTTAAGGCGTAAGAAGTAAAAAAGTAGGCTATGAAATAGATATAATCATAGAATACTAGATGTACTAATTGGTTTGAAGTGGACAATTTCATAGTCATAATGAAAATACTAAGCTTAGGATGTTTAAAGACTTAAACTTCCATTCTTCCTAGTAGGAAGACAGGATGGATGTATTGGTAAATAGCAGATGTTCCTACTGTTGTTTTGTTGCTAAGTGCCACCAAGTCGAACCCTACTCATAACAACCCTGTATAGGGTTTCCAAGGAGCAGCTGGTGCTGATCCTACAGAACCACACCAGGAGATCATATTCATATTAATGGAATTATACAAGAAAATTCTAGAATAGCTTGAAGAGTTGAAGGAAGTTTCTCTGTGAATGTGAAAGTGGACTGCCTCCTTTATTTATGTATGATCACATGCCTTTTATCATTATTTGAGTTTTTAAAAACTCTTCATACAATTTGGGGGTGGAAAGGAGGAGACAATAGTTTTACCTTGAAACACAATCTCAGAAAACCACTCAGTAATAAAAGTAAATACTATCACACCTAAACCCATTCATTCACTTTATTTTGCAAATAAATTTAGGCAGAGGCTTAGGGATTCATGGTCATTTATAAAAATAAAAGTTAGTCTTTTATGATACGTATTTGCACACTTTTAAATAATTTTCTTACATTTGAAAGTCTTTTAAAGTAGCCAAAGCAGTTGTTACCCTTCTGCATTCTGCTTTTCAGACAGCACTTTTTTGGAGGTAGATCTCTTCCGGATTCTTTTTCTCTTTTTTTCAGAATTAGAGGATGGTTTTGTATCCTGAGTTTTTTTCTTTTTCTTCAAACAGCTAAGCGGATTGGGCCCACTTATTTTTTTCCGCTTCTTTCTTCTCCGTTCAGAGTTTTTCACTAAACCCTGTTCTCCTTTAAGTTGTCGGATGCTTTCTTTCTCATGTCCAGACACAAGCTGACCTGCCTCTACTGCTTTAACGAAGGCAACTGATTTGGGAGAAGGTTTGTCCAAGACTATAGTGTTCTGAATAATAAACATGAGAGGAACTCCAGGCCGCTTCTTAACTTTCACAGACAAATTCTGATCCTATTATAAAGAAAAAAATATTTTGTTACATCAGTACTAAGATGAAAACCAGTATTTTCAAGGTTTTCTTCTCAAATTCTCAAATGACAACTCTAACTTAAAGACAGCTAAACTTCAAAGAGTTTAAATACTTTAACACATCAGTTTTACCTCATTCTGTCTTACTATACTTTCACAAAAACGGAATAGAAATGATTAAAAGTGCCTTATAGCTTTAAAAATACTATCACCTGTGTTGCCAGAAAATAATGATGAGGATTTCCCTCTTCGACCATGGAGAGCAGGCATTCAGATCCACTCACTGCATTCTTGAAATGGGGGCAATTTCGAACTTGGCATTTTTGTGCAATCAGTTTTGCCCCATATAAGTCCTTTCCCAATGATTCTAGCTCTTTTAGCACACACCTGAGGGGAAGAAAAATGTTGTGAGTGGCCCACAATGATAGCATATGCATTTCAGTTGTGTGCCTAACGGAAAACAACAAAATCTATTTTTTTAAAAGTAACACTATAACAGTATACACATATCAGCTTTTAAACTTGACCTTTCATTATTAAAAGGGAAGACCTGGAATATACATATGTTGTTGTTAAGAGCCATCGAGTCAATTCCAACTCATAGCAATTCTGTATAAGGTTTCTGAGGAGTGGCTGGTGAGTTTGAACCATTGACCTTGTGATCAGTGCTTATCCTACAGCGCCACACCAAGATACCAACTAAACAAGATGAGTACCAGTCAAGCTGTACTGGGCGCTTTTTATGTGCAGGCAGCAAGCTAAGTGCTCTTTATATAAATTCTTAAATTTCAAAAGCTTTGGAGAATGGGTGTGGGGAGAGCTACAAAGGCACGAAGTGACTGTCTTACAAGCTTTCAAGAGGGAGCCTAGATCCAGAGGGCGCAGAGGAAGGTAGTATTCACTGAGTAGTATCCAATCTGTCAGGGTGGAGCTGATGAAAGGCGATAGGGATAGGACTCTTGTGGCCCAATAGAGAATAATTGTTATCAGGATACACTGCGAAGGTTGGAAATGTAAAGGTAGACGCTTCTGTAGCAAAAGGAGAGGCAGGATTGACTTTGCAGTCCAAGAGCAGAGGTCCCTGGGAGTGTGGGACCCTACCTAGAGAAACAATGACGCCAGAGATGGAGGCAGAGACTATGACGTGGAGAGATGGAGCAACTGGGGACTTTAGTACCAGAGAGGGCGAAGGGCTATGAGCTGACAACTGGGGGTGGGTGGGGGAGGGGGCAAGCTTGCAGAGTATACCCTTTGGTTGGTTGATGATGCATGGAGGGGAATGTAACCATGGCAATGAAATGATATATGATAGGATGAATGTATAGCTAATGTTCTCCCAGGTAAACTATCACATAATTCAAAATAAAACATTAAAAAAAAAAATTTAAAAAAAACTATGAAGAATTGGGGTGGGGGATTACAAAGGAAAGAAGAGACTGGCTTACAAGCTTTCAAGAGGGAGCCTTCCAGGGGGTACGGGGAAGGTAGAATCTCTATTGAGTCATTTCCAATCTGTTGGGAAGGGGCTTATGAAAGAAGATGGGGATAAGAATCTTGTGGTACAATAGTAATAATTGCTATCAGGACTGACTGTGAGGGACAGAATTGTAAACGTAGATGCTTTGTAACAAAAGGAGGGGAGTGGTTGACTTTGCAGTCCAGGAGCCGAGGTCCCTGGGACCATCAAGTGAGAAGAGCAGAGTGTTAGACCCTATCCAGGAAAGCAGTGATGCCATATATAGAAGCAGAGACGATGATGTAGAGAGCTGGAGCGGCTGGGGACTCTAGACCCAGAGAGGGAAACGGGCTGTGTGCCGATGGCCAGGGGGCAGGCTTGCAGGGTATACCCTTTGGTTGTTTGATGATGCATGGAGGGGACTGTAATCATTGCAATGAAACGAAATATGATAGGATGAATGTAAAGCTGGTGTTCTCCCATGTAAACTGTCACATAATTCACAATAAAAACTTTTTTAAAAGCTATAAAGGTATATATACAGCTTACTTTAAAAGCATCTTATTCTGAGAGAATTTAGGAAACATGACAAATTCAAACAAACAATACATCACTTTAATCTGAGACCCTTAACTATAGATAAAAGGAGAAGAACCAAACACTAAACATATCTTAAGGTTAAGAGCAGGAAATGGTATACTATTCTGTAACTGCCAAACAGGATAGCCCAGAAAGGAATCACAGCATGCGAATCATCATGAAAATAGTGCACAATGCCTGGTGTCACAAATATTTTTGAATGAATGAATGAATGAAAAAATTTTCAGAACACCCATTAAGTGCTTTTAACACTTTTAATTCTCATAATAGCCCTATGATAAGTTTTATTCCCATTGTAGGATTTTTTTTTTTTTTAATGACTGAGACAGATAACCAAAGTTTCTCAGTTAACATGTGGTGGAAAAGAATTTAAACACTGACATTCAAGTCTTATAGTCTGCTTTTTAAAATTATTATTTATTATAAATTGAGTGAAGTATTACAGAGCAAATCAGTTTTCCATTCAACAATACATACACTTGTTTCGTGTCACTGATCACAATCCCCACAATAAAACATCACCCACCCCACTTCCTCTTTGTGGTTCCTACTTCCATTCTTCTTCCTTTCCTAAGCCTTCTGAACTTTGTCTCTGGGAAAATGCTGCCCTTTTGATCTCCAATGGCTGATTATTCTAAGGTGTGCAGACCTCACTAGTGTTGTTCCCCCACTGGCCTGTCGATTTTGTTAAGTGCCATCCAGCCAGTTCTAACTCATAGTCACTCTGTGTAGGGTTTCCAAGGAGAGGCTGGTGAATTTAAACCTTCGACTTTGCATTTCAAACCAACCTTGTTGTCCAATGCTTATCCTACAGCGCCACACCAGGACCCTGCATAGGGTTTCCAAGGAGCAGCTAGTGGGTTTGAACTGCTGATCTTGCTCTCTTTGGAAATAATAGTTTTCTCAAGACAACCTGGGTAAAATTCTCAAATTATATCTGACACCTCTTGTTGCTTCCCCCATCAGCTGTTAGTCCTGTCCATCTTAGTTAAGTCTCCTGTGGGTTCGTACCCCTTCCCTTCCCAGGTAAAGGACTCCATGATTTCTTTTGTTCCTTTAAATCTGAATGCGATTAGCTCCTCTAGATCCAACTATTTTATTGTTGTTAAGTGCCCTGAAGTCGGTTCTGACTCATAGCAACCCTGGTAGCATAGTGATTATGAATCGGGCTGCGAACCGCAAGGTCAGCAGTTCGAAACTACTAGCTGTTCCGCAGGAAAAAGATGAGGCTCTCTGCTCCCATAAAGATTTACAGCCTCAGAAAACAGGGTCACTACGAGTTGGAACTGACTCCACGGCACATAAGCACCAACCATAGGGTTTCCAAGGAGAATCTGGTAGGTTTCAACTGCTGACCTTGTGGTTGGTAGTTCAATACTCATCCTACACTGCCACCCCAGGACTCGAGATCTGAGTACAGTGGTTAGTAAAAAACCAGTAAACCAGCTGCCATCTGGTTGATTCTGACTCATGGAGACTCCATAGGGTAGAACTGTGCTCGCTCCACAAGCTTCGCGAAGGTTTTTGGGGGAAGCAGATCACTAGGCAAAGACATAACAGACAAGGGACTACTCTAAAATTTATAAAACACTTGCACACCTCAATAAGATGAAGATAAATAATCAAATTAAAAGTGGGCAGAAGACATGAACATACACAACCAGAGAAAACATTCTGGCAACCAACAAACATGAAGTAATGCTTGTGACCATTAGCCATTAGAGATGCAAATCAATGAGATATCATCTTAGTCCAGCATAATAGCAAAGTTCAAAAAACAACAACAGAAAACAACAAATACTGGTGGAGGGTATGGAGAGATTGGGAGCCTCCTACAATTCTGGTGGGACTGTAACAGTTCTGTCACTATGAAAAATGGCAGGGTGTTTTCTCAAAAGGTTACAATTAGAAATTTTGTGTGACCCAGCAATCCCTCTATATGGTATGTATCCTCAAGAAATAAGAGTAGTGACACAAATAGATATGTGCAGACCTGTCTGTGTTCATCACAGCGCTGTTCACAATAACAAGAAGATGGAGACAACCCAAATGCCCATCAACTGAAGAATGGCTAAACAAACTCTGGTACATACATACAATGGAGTACTAAGAAACAATGAAAAGTAACAGTGAATCTGTGATGCCCAGTAAAATTAATCACAAAGGATCAAATCCTACAATAGAACTCTGTTGCAAAAAGTTTTCCTTGAGAAACGAAACATTCTATGAAGGTTACCAGGGGAGGAGGGAGAATCAGTAATTTAGGTGCCAGGGAAGGCAATATACATACAGGAAATTAACAGAGGAAGATGAAGGTGGGGATGCAAGAATTAAAGTGACCAGAAGTAAATCCTGTTAACCGTTGCTTTTTGGAGGGGATGGCAATCATTGTAATGAAATGAAAGTGCATCATTTGTTGAGTGTAAAACTGACGATCTGTTCTGTAAAACTTCACTTGATTAAACAATAAAAACATTGAGGGGGGGAGGAGGAAGACTAAGAAAAGCTATATAAATAACAACAACCATTTTGAAAGGAGTAGGTTTGGGATACTGATAAATGTTTCGCGCTCAGTATACCTCATAGGAAATTTCCAGCAAAGCTTGTGGTTAGAAGGCATCAAGTCAGTTCCGACTCAGAGCGCAACAGAAGGACTCAAGGCCAGGTCCTGTGCCAACCTCACAATCCTTGTTACACTTGAGCCTGTAACTGCTGCCACTGTGCCAATCCACCACGTTGGCGGTGTTACTCTTTTTCTCTGACTCTCTGACCCTCAACTTTACCAAGCCTGATTTCTTTCTCCATGTTATTTCACTGCCATCTAGTTGACCTTCTAGGATAGAACCTGTACATAGACCAAGATGCAGTTGTTCGAACAAAACACAGGAATACCGAATGGTTTAAAATTAGGAAAGGTGTGCGCCAGGGTTGTACTTATTCAATCTGTACACTGAGCACATACTCCAAAATACCGGATTATACAAAGAAAACTGTGGTATCAGGATTGGAGAAAGACTCATTAACAACCTGCAATATGCAGATGATACAACCTTGCTTGCTGAAAGTGAAGAGGACTTAAAACATTTACTAGTGAAGATCAAAGAGCACAGCCTTTGGTATGGATTGCATCTCAATGTAAAGAAAACAGAAATCCTCACCACTGGACCAATAAACAACATTCTTATCAATGGAGACAAGAATGAAGTTGTCAAAGACTTCATTCTTCTTGGATCAATTATCGACACTCATGAAAGCTGTAGTCAAGAAATCATACAATGTATTGCATTAGGCAAATCTGCTGCACAAGACCTTTTTAAAGTGTTGAAGAGCAAAGATGTCAGCTTGAGGACTAAAGTGTGCCTGACCCAAGCCATGGTATTTTCAATAACCTCATATGCAGGCGAAAGCATGACAGTGAACAAGGAAGATCGTAAAAGAATTGATGCCTTTGAGTTATGGTGCTAGAGGAGAATACTAAAAGTGCCATGGGCTGCCAAAAGAACCAATAGATCTGTGTTGGAAGAAGTGCAGTCAGAGTGCTCCTTAGAAGCCAGGACGGCCAAACTTCATCTCTCAGGCTTCGCACATATTGTCAGGAGGGACCAGTCCCTGGAGAAAGATATCATGTTTAGTAGGGTGGAGGATCAGAGTAAAAGATGAAGACCCCCAAAGAGATGGATTGGCCGAGTGGCAGCATCAATGGACTCAAGCGTGGCAACAGTAGTGAGGCTGGCCCAGGATCGGGCAGTGCATAAGGTCTGCTGTGCATAAGGTCGCTATGAGTGGGTACCGACCCGATGGCACCTAACAACAATAACAACAACAGGGCAGAGTAGAACTGCCCCATAAAGTTTCGAAAGCTGTAAAAATCTTTACAGAACCAGACTGCCTCGTCCTTCTCCGGCAGACGGACTCGTGGTGTCGAACCACTAGCATGCTTAAACTACTTCACCACCCGGGTCCTTTCATCTATTTTACTGATGAGAAAAAAAAAACTAAGATCTTCTCATAGAGGTGAAAGAACTTGCTCGAAATTACAAAGCTGAGAGAACTGAAAACCAGGATTCAAAGCCAGGGCTGTTAGACTACAAAGCACGTGTCCCTACGGTTCACCAAGCTAGCAGGCACGTTACCACCAGCGGCTTCAAAGAGTTCGTGGGGAAACTTTCATTCCATTTCCCCCACGATCTTTCTGAAGCCCCCCGCCCCCCGATTCTCAGGCCACGATAACCGCCGCACCCCCCACCTCCAGCAGACCCGCCGGGCCTACCTGGTGGTGCACAGCTGCGTCTCCGCCATTAGGTAGCGAGGCAGCTGCTCCCGCAGCTGGATGCGGCCCCGCAGCGCCGCCTGACAGAAGGTGCCGTCCAGCAATATCTGGTACGGCTCGCGTACTCTGAAATTGTTGCGGAAGAAGCCGAGGTGCCTCTTGGCGTGTTTCTGCCTCGTGATCTTCATGCCTGGCCTACCGGGGCAAAGCCATCGGATCAGGAAGCTCTGGTTCCGCTAGCGGAAATGCTGGTTTCCTCCGGAAGTAGAGAGTCCTCTGCCCCAGAAGCAAACGCCCCAATTCCAGGCCCTGCCCACTGGTGACGTCACTCATCAGGGGTAGGGCCAGAGAGGGGACAAGGTTTGAGATTTTTCTGGAATTCGCTAATCTGTGCAGGAGTGCCTGAGTTATAAAACCTGTGGTTTGGTTAGTAGTTAACGTGACGCCTCGAAAACCTCTCAAAGGCTCTCTCTCGGCCGTCTCTCTGCCTCTCTCTCTTTACTGCCATCAGGTCGGTTCCGACTCATAGACCCTGTGTAGCATTTCCAAGGCTGTAAATCTTCTAGGAGAACAGAAAGCCTCCTCTTTCTCTAACGGCGTGTCTGGATGTTGAATTGCCGACCTTGTGGTTAGCAATCCAGTGCTTATCCTACAACGCCAGTAGAGCTGGAAAACTGACAGTATAAAATAATAACAATATTAAGCTTTTAGTATGATACAGGCACATTTCTGTTCTACATTAATCCTTTTAATGTTTATAATTTCCGAATAAAGGGAAGGAAAGGGGGTCAATGAATATTGGGCAACCTTTACACTCAGCCACCATCAGAAAAAAGAGCAATGGCTAAACACTAGGCTGTTACCACAAAGGTCGGCAGTTGATCTGCCCACGTAAAGAGGAACGCCTAGGTAACCCTATGGGACAGTTGTACTCTGTCCTGTTGTTAAGTGCCGACGAGGTAGCGACCCTGTATAGGGTTTCCGAGGGAAAGCTGGTGAACTTGAACCACCTATAGGGTGATTATAAGTTGGAATCCACTCAGGGGCACTTAACAACAAGGACATCTGAAAAGTTGGCAGTTTCAACCCACCCACTATGTCTGGAAAGAATGACCTGAAAATCTGCTGAAAAGTAGCCATTGAAAACTATTGAAATTCTACTTGGAAACACATGGGGTTACCATGAGTTGGGATCTACTTAATGACTAGGCAGGTTTGTATTGGTCAATTTCAATCATGTTTACTAAGGGTATGTGTTTAGTGTAGAACTATCACTGGAGCACAGGTTGCATGCATGAAATTCAAATGTTTTTGTGAAAACCCATAGGTGTTACCCTACTTAGAAGCCAGGACAGAGAATCCCCACTTTATTGCATTCCTCACTCCCCTTTAGGCCTCATTTTCCAAGAGTCAGAATCCCAGAGCTGCATCCTAACTTTGAACTTTCCACTAATCCTAACTTTGAACTTGCCCAACCTCAAAGGACTTGGATTCTGTTTCTTTATTGTTATACTGGTTGGCAAGACTAGGTTATTATTATTATTTTAATGTTTTATTGTGAGTTATGTGATAGTTTACATGGGAGAACATTAGTTTTACATTCATTCTTTCATATATCGTTTCATTGCCATGGATACAAAGGACTAGATTATTTTTAAGAGCTCTTGTTATGTCTGTGGTCTCTGACTTGTGAAAAGGACATTGTGGGCTAGTTAAAGAAAGTGACAAACCAGACTAAAGGTTTAAAATGTATTTGGTCAACCTGATTAATGAGACAGAGAATCAGAACATTTTGAGTTCCCCTGTGGCTAACTGCTAAGTAGTCACTCAATTCAAGGCAAAAATCAAAGAATGAGAAGTATGGTATTTTACATTTTTGTCCTGACCTGGAATTTATCCCAGACCTAGTCTTGGCTAAAGACTGAGCGAAAGAGTCAACACAGAAAAATGATTTGCAAAATGATTGAAACATATTTTTATATTTGGGGATTTGTTTCAAGATATTTATTTAACATAAAAGATCTTATAAAAGGTTAACCTTGTCCTGAGTTCCAGCACATTCTCACTTAAATGACTGCTTTCATTTAAGTGAAAATAACCTTTTCAAAAATAAATTTAGGAATTATAAACCATGAAAAGTCGTTGTAAGGATGGATCTAGAGTCCTGGAGTATAATTGTACACAGTTCAAATTCTTTCCTTATCCCTATATACCAATGTCCAACTGGATTGTATCTCCACTAACTAAATGATACTGCCACCGCTTGCAAAATCATTAAAATATGTTTTAAAATAGGCACAGATTAATCTACCAGCTTTGTTCCACTAGCCACTTTTCAGAAACAAGAAAAATGTGGTGCAATACTAGGGCTTTGAACCCTATACTACACTTTTTGTTTTTGGAGCTCTGGTAGCGTAGTGGTTACAAATCGGGCTGTGAACCACAAGGTCAGCAGTTCGAAACTACCAGCTGTTCCTCCGGAGAAAGATGAGGCTTTCTGCTTCCGTAAAGATATATAGCCTTGGAAACCCTGTACAGAGTCGCTATGAGTCGGAACCGACTCCACGGCATATAACAACAACAAAAAACTACAGCATAATTGTTTTCCAGCCATATATACATGACAGTGCCAATTTGCATGTTGTTGTTGTTGTTAGGTGCCATCGAGTCTGTATTGACTCATAGCAACGCTATGTACAACAGAACGAAACAATGCCGGGTCCTGGGCCAACCTCACAATTGTTGCCATGCTTGAGCCCATTGATGCTGCCTGACCCTTATTGAACAAACATAAAGATAGCATTATTCTGTGATTATCAAGTTTAAAATCAAGTTTTCTATTGTAGTTGTCATTGTTTGTTGTTGTTAGTGTTTCTCAAATCTTGATCCTGGAACCTGGAGAAAATGGTCTTAATGTGCTTGTTTAAAATGTCCATTCCTGAATAAGTATCAGAAACTATTCAGGGAGGAAACTACATTTATTATACTCTCCCTACATCATTCTATGTGCACTGTTAGGTGTTGTTAGGTGCCATCTAGTCGACTCCAACTCATAGCAAGCCTATACACAACAGAATGAATCACTGCCTGGTCTAGAGCTGTCCTCACATTGTTATTTGAGCCCATTGCCATCCATCTTGTAGAAGGTTTTCCACTTTTCGCTGATCCTCCACTTTACCACGCATGATGTCCTCCAGGGAGTGGCCCTTCCTGACAACATGTACAAAGTACAAAAGATGAGTCTGGCCATTCTTGCTTCTAAGGAACATTCTGGATGTACTTCTTCCAAGACAGATTTGTTTGTTTTTCTGGCAGCCCATGGTATGCTCAATATTTTTTGACAACAACGTAATCCATGTGCATTGATTCTTATACAGTCTTTCTTCTTCATTGTCCAATTTTCACATGTTTACAAGGCAATTGAAAATACTATGACTTGGGTCAAACACACCTTAGTCCTCAAACTGACATCTTTGTTCTTGAACACTTTAAAGTGTGCAACAAATTTGCCTAATGCAGTACGTCATTTGGTTTTTTGACTGCTGCTTTCATGAACATTGATTGTGGATCCAAGCAAAATGAAGTCTTTGATAACTTCAGTCTTTTTCCCCATTTATAATGTTGTTATTTACTGGTCCAGTGGTGAGGATTTTTGTTTTCTTCACATTGAAAAGAAATCCATATTGAAGATTGTAGTCTTTGATCTTCATCAATAACTATTTCAAGTCTTCTTCACTCCCAGCAAGCAGGTTGTGTCATCTGCTTATTGCAGGTTTTTAATGAGTCTTCCTCCAATCTCAATGCCATGTTGTTTATATAATCCAAATCTTGGTATTATTTGTTCAGAAAACATATTGAATGAGTATGGTGAACTCATACAACCCTGTCATACACTTTTCCTGATTTAAAACCATTCAGCATCCCCTTGTTTTGTTGGAATGAGTGCCTCTTGGTTTACATACAGGTTCCTCATGAGCACAGTTAAATGTTCTGGAATTGTTTCTTCTTATCCATAGCTTTTTATGATTAACACAGTTGAATATGTTTGCATAATCAATAAAGCACAAGTAAACATATTTCTGGTATTCTCTGCTTTCAGCCATGATCCTTCTAACATCAGCAATGAAATCTCTTGTTCCACGTCCTCTTCTGAATCTGGCTTGGTTTCTGGCAGCTTCCTGTTGATGAACAGCTGCAAACATATTTGAAGTATCTTCAGCCAAATTTTACTTGCATGTGATATTAATGATATTGTTCGATGGCTTCCACATTCTATTGGGTCACCTTCCTTTAGAATGGACAGAAATAGGGATCTTTTATAATCGATTGGCCAGGTAGCTCTCTTCCACATTTCTTGGTATAGACAAGTAAATGTCTCCAGTACTGTGTCAGTGTGTTGAAACGTTTTAGTTTGTAACCCATCAATTCCTGGAGCCTTGTTTTTAACTAGTGCCTTCAGTATAGCTTGGACTTCTTCCTTCCATAATGTTGGTTCTTGATAATACGCCACCTCTTGAAAGTATCTGTATTAGTGTTCCTTAAAGACTGTTTGTAGGAAAGCATCACTGTTCATCCAATAGGATGCTTTCATTAAGTGGTCCACAGTGTATTTGTAACCAGATGCCAAATGACCTAGTATTAGAAGATCAACATTTGGCCAGAAATAAAGGAGAAGCCAAATACTACCGACTAGTATTTGGCTATAAGTTTAAATGTGACCTTTATGTATACATTTATAATTACTAAAATGTAAAAGTTTATAATTTTTTTTTAATTATGTTATTATTAAAATTTTTAGTAGTCTTAAAATATTTTGACCTTATAGTGTGGGAACAATAGTGTCTTAGAATTGCTAGTTCTTTTTTGACTTGATTTTTTTCTGAGGTCACTACACTGGATATGTCCCCATGCCAAATAAACATGAAAGAGGGAGGGAAATCATTTATTTGTTTAAAAAAAAAAAAACTTTCATATTTAAAAAATTATATTTGGATCAAATGTAATTTAAAATGGGATGTTGCTGTATTTGATTTTAAAGGTTTTTTTCCACTCATGAAATTCTGATGAAGCTAAGTTGACAGAATGATTTATTTGTACAAGGTGTGACTTATCCACAAATAGGATTTTTTCTTGAAAGATTCAAGTCCTAAATGGAATTTAATAAGTGCACATTAAATAGATTCCATAATGGTTATTTGATTTCATAATTGTTAGTATAT